ATGGATGTACATTCTCCTGCGATTAGGCCAGTTATTATTCCAGTTCCGGTTCCACTACAAAGGGATCATCATACAAATGTCGATACTCCAGGTGACTATTCTCATTCAGTGTTTTCATATAGTCAACCTGGTAGTGTTTCTGTCCATACTGAGGAATCTACTAGCACACATCTTAATTTTGCTGAATCTCCACCTACAGTTCATCAAGATATCAGTGATCAGATTCAAGGATCAGCTCCTGTCATAGGCTATACTCTTTCCTCCTCACATGATACACCTTCTTTGCTTCCTGTCCTTGATTCTGCACAACTCCAGGTAATTCTTCCTATTTCTCCATCTCATTCTCCTATTACCTCTCCACATATACATGATAGTATTCAAACTCGGTTGAAGACAAGAGTCATTCCAAGAAAGGATTACTCATCGTTTGTTGCTGCATTCCCAGAGTTACAATCATTAAATTTCAATGATTCGTGTAATTCTACAGACTTCAATTGTATAAGTGGTGGATTCTCTTTTATTGCTGATGTAACTAAAGTGACAGAACCTAAAAATTTTAGGGCAGCTTCTACAATGGTGCAATGGCAGAATGCCATGCAAGAAGAGTTTGATGCATTACGAGTTCAAGGAACTTGGAGATTAGTTCCACCTCCTGCTCAACGGGCTGTTATTGGTAGTAAATGGGTCTATAAGGTTAAAAGAAATTTGGATGGCACAGTTGCAAGGTATAAAGCGAGGTTGGTTGCTCAAGGTTATAGTCAAGAACAGGGTTTGGATTATTCCGAGACTTTCAGTCCAGTAGTTCGACATACTACAATGCGACTGATTCTTGCACTGGCTGTTCAAAACAATTGGAGTTTAAGACAGTTAGACGTGAAAAATGCATTTTTACATGGAGAATTGGAGGAAGAGGTCTATATGACACAACCACAAGGTTTTGTGGATCCCAAACACCCAACACATGTTTGCCGACTTGTAAAATCTCTTTATGGGCTTAAACAAGCTCCACGAGCTTGGAATTCAAAGTTTACTAGCTTCTTACCTTCTTTGGGATTTAAAACATCAATGGCTGACACAAGTTTATTTGTAAAAGCAGATGATGGTGATGTGGTTATCATGCTCTTATACGTTGATGACATAATATTGACAGGGTCAAGTATAACAAAGGTCCAATCTGTTATCTCTCAACTTGCAGAAGTATTTGACTTGAAAGATATGGGGCAGTTGACATATTTTTTAGGTCTTCAGATTCAGTATCAAATGGATGGGTCTATATTTGTCAATCAATCCAAGTATACCACCGACTTATTATAGAGAGCAGGTATGGAGTCTTGCAAACCTACTTCAACTCCTGCCAAACCTCATTCTCAAGTTCTCATATCTGACGGAACTCCCAAGGCTGATCCCACACATTACAGAAGCATCGTGGGGGCTCTTCAGTACCTCACTTTCACACGACCCGATATAGCTCATGCTGTTAATGTTGTGTGTCAGTATATGACTCAACCATCTGACCTTCATATGCATTTAGTCAAAAGAATCCTGCGGTATTTGAAGGGTACAATCCATTATGGTTTACAGTATACAAAGTCACCTGACTTTATCATTTCAGCTTACTCTGATTCGGATTGGGCGGCTAACATCAATACTCGTCGGTCTATAACAGGTTATGTGGTTTATATTGGTGCTAATCCAATTTCATGGCAATCTAAACGACAATCTACTGTATCTAGAAGTTCTACAGAGGCCGAGTATAAGGCATTAGCTCATTGTGCAGCTGATGTGTTTTGGATTCGTTCTTTACTCAAACACCTTCTTCAATTTCTTCTAGTTCCACCACATTTACATTGTGATAATCTGTCAACACTTGCACTGTGTTCGAATCCAGTGTTTCACTCTAAAATCAAACACCTTGACACGGATTATCATTTTGTACCGGAACGGGTACAGAAAGGAGATATCACAGTGCAGTACATTCCTACTGAAGAACAGGTTGCTGATGTTTTCACTAAAGGCCTCCATAGTCCAATTTTCAGCAAACATTGTCATAATCTCAATCTTGGTGCTCTCTCTCCAGCTACTACAACTAGTTCAAAGCTTTAGAAGTGTTTGCAGATGTCGGTCAAGCAATCTCAGCTATGGCTGCTTAGCTTGAGGGGGGAGTATTAACCATAGTCATTAGTGATGACATGGCTGATCTCTTGATAGTGTTGTTAGAGGTAGTTGAAATGTGTTGTTAGGTTGTTATAAGGATAAGATTGGTTAAGAGTTGTTAGAGGGTATTAGTGTAATTGAACTTACCAATCTAGCTCTATAAAACCAAATGTAAACAGCCATTGATGGTTAACAAAACATATATGAAAAATATCATTCTTTCTCTCTTCTTATCTTCGATAGTTTTCTCTTTTATTCTTCGTTCTCTATTCTCTGTTCTTTAGAAAGGTTAACAATTACAATGTTCGAAAGATGAGGTATGAGTTTGTCATGTGACCCAATGTTAAGGTTATAAATATGAAATCCTTCTATTATAGCTAATTTCCCTAGAAAATTTTCATGCGTCATAATGATGTACGGGAAAGAGGTTGTAACTGACGTATACATACATACATATGCATGCCAAAGCAAATTAAGATGGATTGGTCCCATTTGAGTAAAGGTTTAGGTAGAGAAGGGTGCCCTAGCACGTGAAGACCCACTACATACACGTACCCACACTAAGCTAGTAACAAACACTGCGGCTGAGCTTTTCTATCATTTGGAACTCAGCTAGCTTTGGCGTGGTCAATGAGGTCTTCGATCTCATTGCTGTGCTGCACTTGATTACCATCATGCACTATAAAACATTACCTGCTACTTAGGTCCTTGTTTTACATATTGTATATTGGAAGTCTTAATCTCTCTGCACAATTAGCTGGTGCACATTATTTTTTCTTTAAAATCAAATCAAAATATATGATCCCAAATTTCATTGAACCGTTCATATGAAATAAAAGTCGTCGAAGAACATGCGTACACTCCATCCCCCACCCCACCCCAATCCACTCCACCACCACACACACACAAATATATGACGATTAGAGACACCCAATTTATTCACCAAATTTTACACATGCACTAAGTGATGTCGTTACTTAATTTGATAATGAATCCAAATTGAGTCCATTTGAACATAGTGATAAATATGTTGGCACATAATTTGATTAACAAATTAAACCAACTGCTCTAGACGCATATTTATTCACTCTTTCTATTTTCCTACTCGTCTGTATTGTACGTAGTCCCAATTTGTTCACCAAATTTTACGCACGCACTAAAGTGATAATGCAAGCAGTTGTGATATTTCTTCACTTTTCCCTTTCTGAAAGTCTTATACTATAGTCAGTAGTGTTGGATGTAAGACTCTAATCCAACGGCTAATAGATCAATATAGTTAATAAGAATTGATGTGGAATGTAAGTACGATTAGGATTTAGTTATAAGCTATAACTTGGACACCAATTAAAGTATATATTCCGGTTATAATTGGAGAATAAGGGCTCTTGATACTATCCTATTAGGATTGAGATTTGGTAGATTGTATCCTTGTACAATAAGAAATATTAGTGCATGATTATGGGAATATGCATTAGGGTTGTAATAGTATAAATATCAAGGGAAGGTCATGCATACACCATCGAAACATATACTTAGAGAACTCCCCATAGATTCGAGTAATACAATTATGGTGAGAGTGCAGAAAACCTTCCTCAAGTTCTAGGTGTCTTGGTGTGCTCGTTGTTGTTCTAGTTCTTGCTGTACATTGAAGGATGTCTTCACAAGATTACAATGACGTTTTAATATTACATAAACGTATTAAGTCTGCATTACTAGAAAAAGGGTTATAGGACACCGTTCTTGAGACACTATTCCCAAATCGTGCCTATTTGAGGAAAGTTGTCATTGAAGGATGTGTTCACAAAATTAGTACAATAACGTTTTAATATTACATAACGAACGTATTAAGTCTGCATTACTATAAAAAGGGTTATAGCACACCGTTCTTGAGACACTATTCCCAAATCGTGCATATTTGAAGAAAATTGTCGCCGTGAAAAAACATTGGTGCATTTTACATTTTTTACACTGAAAAACGGTGCCCAACAAATATTTGACAAACAAAAAAAACATTTTTTTTGGAAATTATTAACTTTTACTGTGTCTATATGGATTATGGAGCCTGCCCTGACAACTTTAATAGTCAAACCGATTTGATATTGCATAGAAAATTGGAAAACAAAAGATGCTGTAGACATAATTATTGATTCCATACTAATGAAACCAAGTCCTTGTACAACGCTCTCTCTAAGAGCAAGTCCACCCTTGTGGATTGCTCGGGGGACAGCACCAGGAAAGGGCCCGGGGCCCGATGGACAACCCTCCAGCCTTGGAGAGCCCGAGTGAAGGTGGGAGCCCGAGCACAAGAGGGGTGGGGAATTGACAGGCCTGCAGCCCGAGGTCCATGCATTTTTTTATTTTTTTTGTGTCAGCCCGAGGGTCTGCAGCCCCATTTCCATGTTTTTTTTTATTTTGTATTATTTAAACAAACAAAAAAAAATAATATTTTATTACCTATTGCTAGAGAGGAGGATTTCAAGGGTAGAGATGCAAAAGGTAATTACTGTTCATTAATGACAGTTACTATTCATTAAAGGCAGTTACTGTTCAATAGGGTGGATTCAATAGTGGATTGCCGGGAGGGAGGGCTCTAAGGGTGGAGTTGCTCTAAAGGAGATGGATTGTCTGTCATTCCATTTTCATACTTTTCTGTTCATGGTTAAATCACGTTAACATTTTATATTAATTTTTTTAATGAAAATAATAAGACAAAAAATAAATATTGACGTGATTTAACCGTAATCTTACAAAACAGAAGAGTACGAGTAGAATATGAAAAGGGAAGCGCAGACAATACATCTCCCTCTCTAAATCCAACCATGTGGCTGTGTGTTTCTCAAGTTTTTTTTATTATCAAAGTATGGACTGGAGCATAAAAGTAAAGTAATAAATAATATTTCACCTCCACTCTTTTTCATATCACTTTCCGGATTCCTCTTCTCCTAAAATCTTCTACAGTTTTTCTCCCAACACCTCAAGCGGTTGCATGTCGTCCTCTAGATCAGCAGCCTCTCATCCGCATGTCGTCAACAATATGCATGTAGTCCTCTGCGTTTTTGTCGCTCTCTGAGTTTTAAAGTTGTTGGGATGTGAAAGGCTGAGTCCACGACAGATTTGTTTACTGGGTTCGTAAGTTGTTTTATGGGAGTTTGATTCACTCTTAAACCTGGTAAAAAGTTTCCTTGCTTCTCTCTGTCTCTTCTCTTGCTTTATCTTTTTAAATTTTTTTTTTTTTTTTTGGTTAGAGTTTAAAACTTTCTTTTAAAAGGCTCATTTTCTCTAAAAAATAATAATAAAAATATCAAATGAAAGGCTCTGGTAGTCTTGAAATACGTGTATTGTAGTTTCTCTATGTATAAATCAAGAACAAATGATAATCTGTATCTTTGGAAACCAACCATAATTCTCAGTTCCCCTCCTCTCAGAATGCTCTCTCCCTCTCTTCCTCACGAGTAGGGCTAGATCTAATGATCTGATTTCAACGACGCCTCCGGCTACCAGATCTGGTACTGGCAACCGTGTTTGCTTGGATCTTGTTCTCTCTCTCCCTTTCGAGCTAAGCCGACGCACCTCCATGGAAGAAGATGGATGATCGACGTCAAAATGATGGATGTAAGTTGACTGTAGAGATCTGATTTCCTGCTGCCTCCCCACCTCCTTTTCGTCATGCTGTGGCCTGAACCTAATCCGGTAGGTATTTATTTGGGTATTTTTTTTATCTCAGTTTCTTTTTCTAATTCATTTTCAGATCGTTGGAATGTATGTATGTGAAGTTCTATTTCTAACCTCTCTTTTTAAATCATTTTCAGATATTCGGGATTGTTTGAGAAGACCGATGAGAATCCCACTTACAAAATTTTGTGAGCAACAAACATAAGTGTTGAAACACTGTTTGTATTTTCTATTTTTCGTTGAAGTTATTATTTTTTGTTTTCTGTGTATGTATACTTACTGTTGACTCTTTTGGTGGTATTGTTATGAAGGTGAATCTGGAAAAATCTGTTCATTATAGAATCGTTACTCGAGTTCCTGGATGGATGGGAAAGGTTGTGGAACTCCTAGGATTAAATGATTAATTTTCATCCAAAGTATGTGGTATTAATCATGGACTTCGTCAGTGGGAGATCATCGGGCTCCCTCTTTTAAAAACATAAATTGCAATTTGGACATTGATGCTAGGAATTAAATATCGGTAATATCGGAAATATCGATGGAAATATCGGGATAATATCGATATCGATAAAAATCACATGGAAACCACGGAAATTGTAAGAAAAATTGGAAATTTTTATTGAAATTTTGGAGGATGTTTATTTAGTCAATTATCTATTAGTTTATCACAAAAAATTAGAAGGAAATGCATTGCATGATGGATTTAACATTATCAAGTTGATTTTATAGCAAGCTGACAAACATTGTAAGTATAGAAAATATGTAGTAATTAATGAAAGAAGTCTAAACACATCATAATCATTTATATATAATGAATTAGTACAATATTTTACACTTTATACATTGCATGGTAAGATACATGAGTGACTTAGTACCACATAGAGTTCCTATGAGGTTCAAATTTTTCACTATCTTCATCATCTCTATGTGTAGAGTAAGTGTATTGTAAAGAATAGTTATCAAATGATAAATCCCAAAATAGTTTTGCATGTAATTGTTAACATGTCACCCATATGGATCCGAGATTGGTTGACTTTGTCTATAAGCAAAATCATTTGAAGATTGAGTCTCGGATTGTTTCCATGAGTCGCTCGATTCTATCCCAATAGGATTGGGATATGAATGGTAGGGAAATGGTTGGTTATGAGTATAACCATAGTTACTACTTCCCAATCCAACAGAGTCCTAAGTTATAGATAACGAGTCATCTTCTTGACTTGACAAAATCCCCTTGCCTGTTTCTCTATGAGTATAGTCCTTCCCTATGGCACCAATTCCTGGTCCTGCCCGCCTACTGCCATGGTTATCATCCTGTGTTGCATGCGTGAAGTTTGCCTCACCAGTGAAGGGGCTCATAAATCCGGGAGGTGGTCCAACATAGTTTCCATATCGACCACCACTACTTCCAGTTCCACTATATCCTTCATCATTCCCACCTCCGGTGGTAGGTGAGTCTGCTGATCTTGTACTAGAGTTATCATTAGTATCAGCACGATGTTGTGGTTGTGTAGGATTGGAAGAAGGTGGAATTCCAGTGTTTCTTGGTCTTGGGCGCAAAAGTTCTTCCAAAGAGTCAGCGCTGCTAGATCCCACCTCCTCCTCTAATACTCTTTCTACATTTATCCCTTCATTACGTGCTTCTTCAGCAACTCTGGGAGCTGGGTTGCCTTCATCATCATCTAAATAGAGGTCTAATCCATTGATAAAGTTGGTTACCCTCTGTATCATCATCTTCACCAACAATATCAAAGACATCTAGTGGGTCACCACGATCGACATGATCTATTTCTGCTTCCTTATCTCGAATTTGAAGCTTCATGTTGTAGTAGCAATAAACTAATTTTTCCAACCTACTATAAGCCAACATATTTCTTTGCTTTGTGTGTATGAGTGCAAATGTGCTCCAATTTCTTTCACAAGCAGATGAGGAAGATGTTTGTGATAATACTTTGATTGCTAACTTTCTCACAGTTGGTGCATCGGTCCCATACATGATCCACCATTCAGCTACAATGAAAAACAATGTTGATAAGCCTAATAACTCCAACAAATTCTATTATAAACTTATAGTGAAACATGTTTACACTCACTAGGAGACATTGTTGTTCGAGCAGCAATTGATATTGGTTCTCCAAAAGTTCTTCTTGCATCTTTAAACAATGTTAGCTGAATTCAATAAATCGTGTTAGTTTAATCTAACAAAGTAATTATTATAATTTAAGTAATTGTGTACCTCATTTCCAAATTGGCCAACTGCTGGTGATGCAGGGTCTAATTTAGAGTATACATTATGTACAGCACGTATAAGGGTACCATCATCTTCAACACCGGGTCTGTATTGGTATCGAGGATTCAAATAATATGCTGTTCAAAGAAACACATACTTTAATAAGAGAAATAATACTTATACAACTAAAGAAATGAATTGCAAATTATGACATAATTTATACCTGGTGCATGCAAATCGTTGTATAATGTTTTATACCATCGGTCTTCAATTATCTTTATGACCCACCTTGCACCATGTTTTCTTTCCAATTCATCATTCACTACACGCATCAACTCATATACTGCCCCATAGTAGGATACACTTATGTGTCAACAATCCGTAAAACCTTGTAAAGAGGTTCAAACACTTGGCACACATGTTCTGATTGAGTCCAAAAAGCATGATCAAGCACTATACTTTCCACCATACGATCTGCATTCGAGTGGCTGAAATTGTGGTTGGCCCAATCGTCACTAGTGAATAGTTGCTTCAACCCTGCTTTCTTCTTAAGTAGGTTGTCTAATGCAATATAGTTGGTGGCGAATCGAGTGGTGGCTGGACGAATAATTTCTCCTTTGCAAAATTCATGCATCTTTGCCAACAACCAACTGTGATTGTAAATATAATTTGTGATCGTTCTAGCTCTTTTGACCACAGTATCAACATTCTCTCTCTTCCCCATTGCCTCAAACATGAGATCAATACAATGTGCTGCACATGATGTCCAAAGCGCATTATGATGCTTCATTAACTTTTTTCCAGCTTTGACAAATGCAGAACCGTTGTCGGTCACAACTTGGACAACATTATGCTCTCCCACCTCCATGATTACATCCCTCAATAATTTGTAAATATACTTGTAGTTCTTTATATGGTTTGAAGCATCAACAGACTTCAAAAAAATTGTCTTTCCCTTGGAGTATACCATGAAGTTTATGATAGACAATCTGGTCGGGCCGGTCCATCCGTCACACATGATTGTGCAACCATTAGTTTCCTACTTTGACCTCAACTTGTTAACACTCACCAATGTCTTTATACTCCATATCCAAATATTTGTTTCTTATCTCATAAGGAGTGGGAGGTTGTACTCCAACACCGGCCTATTGACATCCCACTACCATATTTTTGAAATAATGTGATGATATTTTCTCAGCAGGGACATTTTCATAGATAAAGAACTTGCTAATTAGACGCCCCATTCCTTCCTTCACATTACCTCCAGTGAAATAACTCCAAAAACTCTTTTGACGTGCTTTGGATGACTTATATAAACTTTGGGCTATTGGTGGTGTTGGTTGTGATTCTCTAAGACTGCCTCCCCGTCTCATTTGTGCTCTATTAGGAATTTTATGAAGGTATTCTCTTTCTCATGCTGACTGTTTGAAGGCACGTAATGCTTGTTTCAAACTGCGTCGTTCTTCAGGTCCCATGTCATCATCACATTTATCCTCATCGTCATCATCATCACTATCAACCGTTTGGCCATAGACTTCTCCCCGTAGCCCAGCTCGAATATTTTCCATTCCATGTGTTATCTTTTCCTTCTACTATTTTTTATTTTTTAATAATACACTAATGAATGCCTTCACTTCTGGGGGGGATATTATCGCATCGTTGGACATGTTTTGCTGGATCTAATCCACTAAGATGATACTTAAGTCGTGTCACTCTGCCACTCTTCATTACCCAACCACAATATTTGCAAATTGTGCCATGTTTGTTTTCGTCTATTAGGTCTCCATGTTCCCAAGCTAGATCATGTTTAGTAACTCCACTGGACATCTTAAACGTACCTATATTTATTTTTCATGAAAATTAGACAATTATTTTTTGATAAAATAAGAGAACCTAAATAATAAAGTTATTCTACAGAAGAATTAAATATGAAGTAAAGAAAATGATTGTAAAAATTTAAGTAATTATACAAATAATATGGAATAATAAAACCTAATATTAATGAATAATAATCCAATTTGATAAAAAAATAATCCTAATATAAACCATGGTGATGAATAATAATCCAATTTGATAATAATCCAATTTAATGAATAATAATCCAATTTGATAATAAAAAAACCTAATATTAATGAATAATAATCCAATTTGATAATAAAACCTAATATTAATGAATAATAATTCAATTTGATAAAAAAATAATCCTAATATAAAACATGGTGATGAATAATAATCCAATTTGATAATAATCCAATTTAATGAATAATCCAATTTAATGAAAAATAATCCAATTTGATAAAAAAAAAAAACCTAATATTAATGAAAAATGAAAAATAATCCAATTTGATAAAAAAAAAAAACCTAATATTAATGAAAAATAATCCAATTTCATAATAAAACCTAATATTAATGAATAATAATCCAATTTGATAATAATCCAATTTAATGAATAATCCAATTTAATGAATAATAATCCAATTTAATGAATAATAATCCAATTTGATAATAAAAAAAACCTAATATTAATGAATAATAATCCAATTTGATAATAAAACCTAATATTAATAAAATAATAAATAACATTAAACATATTAAAATTATCCTAGGGAATAATTATACAACATTACTTAATTATTTAAAAAAATTAACATGTAATTGTTAACATTACTTAATTACTTACAAAAATTAACATGCAAGTATTAATTACTTAAAAAAATTAACATACGAGTCCATACAAATTTATTTGTTGTTGTATAAATTACAATAATATAAATATAAGTTTGTAAACTTACCTTAAATATGGAACCCTTTGTGTTTAAGTTTTGGAATGGATCTGGAATGACTTTGAAAATGGTAAGGGAAGAAGAAGAAACGAAAATGCTCTGAATGCCTCTGATACTCCACCTCTGATAAGGTGAAAGAATATAACAGACAATGACACACTGTTTTGCATGTGAAAGAATATCACGGACTCACAATGGTACACGATTTCATTATGAAAGCACTATTATTCGTTGTCCATGGTCTGAAATTGCAAAAAGTTATTTGGATCATTGGATCAAAGAGCTAGAGACAGGTTTTGAATTATTTGGATCATTGGATGCTTTTTTTTTCTCACACGCCACCACACACACAGAGAGTCAGAGAGTGAGTCACACTCACACGCCACTACACACGCACACAGAGATCGAGATTCGAGACCCCCCACACCACACACGTACACAGAGACTGAGCTCAGTCTCTCGATCATTCCTTCTCTCTTCTGAGTTCTGAGTCTTCTCCCTTCCTTCTCTCTTCTGAGTCTTCGCCCTTCCCTTCTCCCTTCTCCAGTTCTCCCACACACACACACAAACATCATCTCTCGATCCTCATCGTCCGCGTCTTCCGCCTCGTCCGCGTCTTCCGCCTCGTCCGCGTCGTCTCCATCTCCTGTGCCGTGACCTCTACCTCAAATCGGTCATCCCCATCGGTGCCCTCTACTTCCTTTCCCTCTGCTCCTCCCTCGCCTTCCTCATCGTCGAGCCCGGACCTCCTAGACGGAAAAGAAGAAGGTTCCACCCTCCACCAAACCGAAAAATTCAAACCCACAGTTTAATATCTTATTAGCCGGTGACCCTTTACACACAAACCCAGAAAATCTCTCTTTCTCTCTCTCTCTCTCTTTAGTTTTTCCAGAAACCTCTAGCAAGGCTAGATTCAGATGCAGATGCAAGTCGCAATGCAGGTGCAGCTGCAAGTTTGATGCAGGTGCAACTCTCTCTCTCTTTCTCTTTCTAGTTTTACCAGAAACCTCTAGCAAGGCCAGATTCAGATGCAGACGTAAGTTGCGATGCAGGTCGTCGCCATCGCCGTCGGTGGTCAAATCAACTCCTAGTCCCTCACCTTCTTACCTCTTCGATTGATTCATGCATATGAATTGTGGTTGTGTTTTCAATTGCTCTGTAGCTTAGATCTTGATCTTAATCATGTTTTGCAAGGTTTTTTAGACGAAATCGGCTCGGGAATCGGCACACCCATTTCCGGCGTTCTTCTCTGATTCGCACGTATCCAAAATATTGCGATAATTTCGGAAATATCACGATATTATCGATAATATCGCGATATTTTTCCGAAAACCCATCGGATACCTATTAAAATATCGGACCCGTGAAAAACCGATAATATTGGCGAAATATCGCCGATATTATCGGCATTTTGTTCCTTGACTGATGCTAAAAGGCATATTTTACCTAACAAAATATTTAATCTTTTAAAAAACAAATAAACCAAAATATAATAATATCATATATATAAACAAATAAACCAATGTATAAATGGTGGTGTTTGTTACAATAGATTTCTATAGAGGATATTAGATCATGCAGATTTTGACACGACACGGTGATACGATACAAAAATAATGGGCTTTTGATCAACACGATAACTTATCGAGTCATTATTGGGTAATTGTTAAGAACCCATTAATAACGGATTCTTAATGGGTATACATGCTAACATTTGGGTAATCCTTCTCCACCCGTTAACAAAAAAATTATTTTGATAATTTCAAAGTTTAATTACTAAAAGATTTATTATAAAATATAATAGTCATATTAATATATACAATATATTCTACATTAAATATATAGTTTTGTATTGTTATTCTATATAAGTTTTAAAAAAAAATTAGTCATTATTTATTTTTATTATGAAGATTCCTTATTATCATTACTAGGATAAATTTTACTTAATATGTTGTTGTCCAAAATTAAAATAAACTAATATGGTATTTGTATAGGCAAAAACTAAGAAGACATACATACAAGTATGAAAAATGTGAAAGAATATATAAACACTCATGATTCATCATTATTCCTCTACGAGTAGATAATGGTTACACTTACATTATCGTTTAGATTTTTAAAATCCTTCAAACCTTCATGAATAATGGTTTTTATTTGAGGGAAAAATTAATAATAATTATTGTAGAAGTGTTAAAAATGTAAAAAAAATATACAATCACTCATAGTGACAAACTTTACAACTTTCATGAAGGGGTCAGCTTCAAACTCCAACACTATAATTCATAAATCTTAAATTTATATTTAACCACCGATTGTCATTTATGCTTTATTCTTCTTACTGAATTTCATTTTTAAAATTTTCTTTTTTGAAAACATGATCATATGGCGGATGTAAGAAGATGAATGGTTCAGATCTTTGAAGATCTTTGATATCACGTTTTGATATTTACGGTTAACTGAAATATGAGTCGATGTCATATAGTTTGTAAAAACTTTATAAACATCAAGCAATATTTTCATTAACCGTAAAACTCTAAATATAATATCAACAATCCAAACCATTCATTTTCCTGCATCCTCTAATATATCAAGTTTTCAAAAAAGAAAATCTAAAAAAATAAAATTTGATGAGAACAATGAAGCATAAATGTAAACAACAATCAACGGTTAAATTTTGATCTATGATTTATATGATTATAGTGGGGAATTTCGAAGTTAAGCTCTTCATGAAAATTGTAAAGCTTGTCATTATGAGCGTTTATATATTTTTTCTATATTTTTTTACACTTCTATATTAATTAAAAAACTATTAAAGACTTAAGGTAAGTGAAAATATACTTAAAAAAATGTGTTTTTATGTTTTGGATGTGACAATATGGTATGTATATACTTATTTAGTATTATGTTTTTCATTTGATTATTTATTGGTTTAAAATATATTTTCCTTAACGGCTAATGGGTGGGGTCATATTACCTGTTAATATTATCGGGTTGATTTCGGGTCTGGTCATTTTACCTGTTTATTTTAACGGGTGTTACACGACACGACCCGTTAAGATATCGGGTATGACATGAAAACGACACGAACACGGAAAACACAACACGAATGCCAGATCTAGAGGACATGGACCCTAATTTATGCTTGCCACCGAATTCAGTGTCCACTGTTTCCAATGGGCACCAATAAGATCAATGCTCTATAGCTATTTTTCTAGTAGTGCTAGCAGTTGGTATCAGAGCTAAATTAAAATCCATAAAGAATAAACATACATCATGCATGCAAAGCATATGAATAAATTGATGTTTCTTCAATTTTGATCCTTATTTTTCCGCTGCCATATTTAATGCCTGCATGCATGTATATAAGTATATATGAGAGATGCGCGATCCCGGCATAATTGTAAAAACTTCGACTGTTTATAGAACTAAGTTATATGCGTAAACTTCAAAGACTGCAAACAAGTGCCATGATTACTTCATGTGCTATGCTTATATTCACAGAAACCCTAAAACTATCTACCTTATATAACTGGTGTAAGAACTATATTTTGGCCTAATAAAATTCGAAGAATTGTTTGCTTCAGAATCTTATTTGTCAAGCATGTCAATGATTGAAAGTTTTAAAGGTTCATGGCATGCTGAAAGTTGCAATATGATCAATGTTTTTGAGATGTAATTGGATGAGTGGGACACAACAAATTTGTCTTAATCATTCAATAACTGTTGAAAATTCAAGGTTTTGATTGATCAATTTGTATCAGTAGCCATAACAATAAGGTTATATCCCCAAATAAAGGTGTAACTAATCCATATTGGTTCGATTACTGATAGATTAGTGGAAGTGCATGAGCTGTGAAAGTTAATTGCCAAACGAAGGTGGATGGCTTTCATGTTATACCATTACTTATGCAACTTATATATTTTGCACTGATACTGATTAAACTTGAATGCCAAACAAAGGTTGAGTTGTTTCAGTTATACATAATATAGAGTCTTGAATGCTTATTTTGTTTGAAAATCTTTCAGTAATTAGCTCCCTGAATTCAATTCAAACACTCAATGGAACCAATTATAAGAAGTGGAGGCAAGATATTGAAATAGCTCTAGGACTCATAGATTTCAATCTAGCTCTAAGAGAGAATGAACCAACCAAGCCCGCTAATGATGCAACTGCAGCCAAGAAGAATGAATATAAAAAATGGGTTAAGGCTAACAAAATGGCGCTGCTGGTAATCAAAAGGTCAATGCCTGACCTGGTTCGAGGGGCAATCACTGAGTCAAATAATGCTAAGGCATATCTTGACTCCATCAAAGTCAAGTTCAAGGAATCTGAAAAAGTTGAAACTGGAACCCTTATGAACACCCTAATTACCACTAAGTACCTGGGTGGTGATGTGAGAGAGCACATCCTCTCAATGGTTGATGTAGCTGCTAAGCTTAATGCACTTAACATTAAGATAGATGATCCTTTACTAGTTTATCTCGCCTAAAATTCTTTACCCCCTGAATACTCTCAGTTGAACAGTACTTATATAGCTTAGAAAGAAAAATGGGACTTAAATGAACTAATTGTCATCTGTGTGCATGAAGAGCAAAATATTCAGCAAGATAAAGGCAAGAAACAAGTCAATGCAATGCAGAATGTTAACCTTACAAATCCTCCCAATGAGAAAGACAATCCTTCATAGAGAAATCACAATAGGGCTGCTGGAAGGGTGAATAGGGTCAATAATCATCGGAGGGTGCATAGGGATGTTGGAATGAAGTATTTCTTCTGCAAGAAGGTTAGACATCAGAAGAAAGAAGGTATAAGCATTAGAAAGAGAACAAGAAAATCAAAGGTACAATACATAGAATTTTAGTTTGTTTTGAATCGAATTTAGTTGAGATATCTTATGACACTTGGTGGCTTGATACTGGTGCTACAATTCATGTAACAAATTCATTGCAGGGGTACGTTAGTAAGGGGTGCCAAACAAAGATGAGGTGTCAGTGTTCGTGTGGGCAATGAAGCTAGAGTTGCAATTAAGTTCATTGGAGTAGTTAGGCTTGAATTATTTTCTGGTTTTTTGCTAGATTTGGTTGATGTTGCTTATATACCTTCCATGAGAAGGAATTTAGTTTCAGTTAGTAGGCTTGTTAAATCAAAATTTAAGTTTGATATTAAGGAGATTGGTTTTTCAATATTTCGAAGTTCTGAGCTAATTGGTGATGGACTGTTGACTGGTGATATGTTCAAGCTTAACTGCAATATACCAATAAGTGCGGTTAACACAGTAGGGCACAAACGAACACTGACAAACAACACCTCATTCAAGTTATGGCACAAAAGATTAGGGCACATTTCTAGGGACAGAATGCAAAGATTGACTAGAGAATAAATCCTGCCATCACTGGATTATGGTGATTTCGATATTTGAACCAACTACATTAAGGGAAAAATGATAAACAAGAAAAAGAAAGGTTCAACTAGAAGTACAAGGCTACTAGAACTACTAGAACTAATCTACACAGATATTTGTGGTCCTTTTCCAACACAAACAGACAATGGTTACAAGTATTCCATCACTTTCACTGATGACTTTTCTAGGTTTGAGTATGTATACTTGTTAGGAGAGAAATCTAGTGCATTTGCTACTTTCAAAATCTATAAAGCAGAAGTGGAAAACCAACTACAAGATCAAGATAGTAAGGTTTGATAGAGGTGAAGAGTATTATGAGAAGTTTAGTGAGTCTGGTAGATAGCCTGGTCCTTTTACATTATTCCTACAAGAACATGGAATCGTTGCTCAATACACTAATCATGGGACCCCTGAGCAAAATGGAGTTAGTGAAAGAACAAATATGACATTAATTGAAATGGTAAGAAACATGATGTGTAATTCGAAGCTACCTACTTTTCTTTAGGGGGAAGCAATCAAAACTGCAAATTACTTGTTGAATAGGGTCCCTAGCAAGTCTGTTCCCAAGATACCCTTTGAATTGTGAACCAACAGAAAACCAGTATTCAATCACTTGAGAATTTTGGGCTACAAAGCAGAAGCAAGAGCATACAATCCAATGGAGAAGAAGCTAGACCCTAGAACAATCACATACTTCTTTGTAGGGTATCTAGAAAGAACTAAGGGTTACATGTATTGTCCCAACCATACCTCGAGGTTCATTGAAACTGGGAGAGCCAAGTTCATTAAAGAAGCTAATGATGATCAATGGGAAGAGAATCTTGACTGGAATGAAGAGACCACAATACTGCAAGATGAAAACCTAGGTGATGCTGTGACAGATAGAGTTCTTGTGCCAATTCCAGTGCAAAGTACAAATGAACAAATTGAAGAACCAATACAGGTTGTCCAAGAAGAAGAAATGGTTGCAGATGAACCTGTGCAACTGAACAACCCACCAGCTATTCAAGATGAGCACATTGAACATGTGCAAATGGAAACCAGAAGATCCACTCGTGCAAGAAAGCCTGCAATCTTATATGACTTCTTTGTGTATCTGCAAGAAGCTGAGTTTAATAGCCAAAAAGAAGATCCATTAAACTTCAAGAAAGCAATTGAGAGTTCAAATAATGAACACTAGCAAGAAGTTATGCAATCAGAATTAGATTCCATGGATAAAAACAAAGTATGGGAGTTAGTTAAGTTTCCACAAAGGTGTCTACCAATAGGGTGTAAGTGGGTTTACATAACAAATAAAGAATCAAAGGGTGAAATTGAAAGATACAAAGCTAGACTTGTAGCAAAGTGTTATACTCAACAAGAAGGAGTTTATTACAATGAAACCTTCTCCCCAGTCTCTACAAAAGACTCTTTTAAAGTGATCATGGCCCTAATGGCTCACTTCGATTTATTTCTACATCAAATGGACGTTAAGACTACATTCTTGAATGGAAATCTTGAAAAAGAGATCTATATGAAGCAACCATAAGGTTTCATTCAAAAAGGGAGAGAAAGTTTAGTCTGTAAACTTAAGAAGTCCATTTATGGATTGAAACAGGCCTCAAGACAGTGGTATTTGAAGTTTGATGAGGTTGTTTCATCACATTGTTTTGAAGAGAGCCCTAGTGATGAATGTGTTTATATGAAGAGGAATGGAAACTGCTTTACTTTCTCATTCTTTATGTAGATGACATATTAGTAGCATGCAATAATGCATCATTGTTGAGTGACACCAAGAGATTTCTGTCAAAACACTTTGAGATGAAAGATATGGGAGAGGCAGTTTTTGTTCTTGGGATTCAGATCACAAGGGATCGAAGCAAAGGGCTACTTGGTTTACCACAAAAAGCATATATTGAAAAAGTACTTAAAAGGTTCAATATGAAAAACTCAAATGGTTATGATGTTCCAATGACAAAGGAAGAGAAGCTCAGTAAAGATCATGCCCCAAGACTGAGTTTGAGGGAAAACAAATGGCTAGCAAGCCTTATGCTTCACTAGTTGGGAGTCTTATGTATGCACAGGTATGTACCAGACCTAATATTGCATATGCCATTAGCATATTAGGAAGATTTCAGTCTAATCATGGTAATGTACATTGGATAATTGCTAAGAAAGTATTAAGATATCTGCAAAGAACTAAAAAGTACAACCTGGTATACAAAAGGGATTCAAGACTCGAGCTAGTAGGCTATAGTGACTCAGATTTTGCAAGCTGCCTTGATTCACTTAAGTCAACTTCGGGTTATATATTCACGTTGGCAAATAGGGCAGTGTCATGGAAAAGTGTGAAACAAGATATTGTTGCCACTTCTACCCAAGCTGAGTTTGTAGGTTGTTATGAAGATACTTCACAAGTTGTATGGCTGAGAAATTTTATCAGCATACTCAAAATTATGGATTCCATAGCAAGCCTGTTCAAATTTGGTGTGATAATAAAGTTGCTGTCTTTTATTTTAAGAATAATAAAAGGTCTCCTGGAACTAAGCATCTAAACACCAAACATGCGTTGACTATGAAGAAGGTGAAGTATGGAGAAATCAAGGTTGATTACATTGACACTCATGCAATGCTTGCTAATCCACTCACTAAGGTATTACCAAATGCAGTTTTTCATAAGCATGTAGTCGATATGGGAGTGACTGCAACCCTAGATTTGTCAAACTAGTGGGAGTAATGATAATATGTAGTTTAATTATCCATGGTAGTTAGCATCGTGATAGTTAGTGTTAAGATTTGATTTTATATTTGTTAGCTACTGCACTAGGTTGAATTGAAGATTTAATAAAGGGATGCTATTTCAGTAATAGATTACATTGTTCCAATATGGTTTTAATACATATTTTATGTTGGAAATAAAGGTTGTTGAAAGGTTATAAGTAACTGATGTGTTTTTTCAATGAAATAATGTAGCTGCAAAAGGTTATTAGCTGCAGTTAATTATGTCATAAGATTGCTTGACTTATGACCTAAGTTTTTCACGAAAGGTTATATGAGCTATTCTTATAGCTTGAAAGCTTCATAGGAAGCATTAGACAGTCAGGTATAAGACTGATTAAGTGGACTGGAAGTGATGGAGTCAATGCATTTGACTCGTGGTTTGTTATGCACTTTTGTACCAAGTCCATGATTAATTGCTCCATATAAGTGAAGAGCTCACAACAACAACAACAACAAAGCCTTTTGTTCATAGTCAGTGATTATAAGAGCTCATGGATACTTCTCTTGTTCATAGTCTCTGATAGTTCTGAGTAAGTAGCCTTTACTTGACAAAAGCATGCAAGAAGCTTAATAGCTTAACTGAATCCATTGGCCAATAAAGAATCATGCTTACAGATTCATTAAAGTTCTTTCCTGAATTAACTATTTGACTTAGTGGGAGAATATTGGATGTAAGACTCTAATCCAACGGCTAATAGGTCAATATAGTTAATAAGGATTGATGTGCAATGTAAGTACGATTAGGGTTTAGTTATAAGCTATAACTTGGACTCCAAGTAAAGTATATATTCTGGTTATAATTGGAGAAAAAGGGCTCTTGATACTATCCTATTAGGACTGAGATTTGGTAGATTGTATCCTTGTACAATAAGGAATTCTAGTGCATGATTATGGGAATGTGCACTAGGGTTGTAGTAGTATAAATACCAAGGGAGGGTTCCTGCAAACACCACCAAAACATATACTTAGAGAACTCCCCATAGGTTCGAGTAAAACAGTCGTGGGTGAGTGTGCAGAAGACCTTGCTCAAGTTCTAGGCGTCTTGGTGTGCTCGCTGCTGTTCCAATGCTTGCTATGCATTAAAGGATGTCTTCACAAGGTTAGTACAATGGTGTTTTAATATTACATAAACGTATTAAGTCTAACAAGTAGTGCTAAAATTGCATAACGTCACATCTAAATGCTTATACATGTCCATGATGTCAAGGTTACGGCGCTACACACATTTGTTACACGGACCGTGGCCGGAAATCGTAGTAAATTGAGCATTTCCGTCCTAAAAGAACAGATGTTGTACTTTTTGTTTCAATTCCTTTTTCTTCTTCTATTTATATTTTCTTTTCTAATCTGATGGACGTATCTTTGTTCAATCAATAGGTAGGATCGGTAAACTTTTGTTATGAGTGTAGAGCTGTTACATAGTGCTTAAAGCTTCATCAATTGGGCTGATTCAGCTGCTACTTAGTGTTCATTGTAACCGATTCATTCTGTTCAATAAAATGACTTGAGCTGATTCCTCTGTTTTCTCTCCATTAATTTTCTTCATTTCATTTTCTCTTCTGTTGTTCTGTTAGAATTCTAATTTTCTTGTACTATTAACAAACCTAGCGTTATATTTATCTTACTTCTGGTGATTAATTATACCTGAAGCCCTAAACCCTAATACCTCATAAAATTTGTAACCCTTTAAAAGAAGAATAAAACAGAAAAGAAACTCAAACCAACCAACACGTCCTAAACCCTAAAACCAAACTGGAAAACAAAATTCCTAATAATTGACTCAACATCTACTTCTAATCTTCGGTACCAAATTGTATACGGTTATAAGAACGGAAAATAAATATAATAATAATAACATATAGGTGATATAACAGCTCAACAAAATATCACAGGTTAATTTTGTTATACGTGAGACATAATTTGCAAACTAAATGATGTGTCACCAATAGGAATGAGCATGTTTATCAACGCTTAAGTCATAATCCAATCATTAACTTCCATGTCATTTAGTTTGTAAAAATTTTCTACAAATTTAATCTCTTTAGCATTACCCAAATAAGAAAAGATCAACGAAAACTACATGCATTTCAAGCTCTTTTATCAACAATATTAGCAATTAATTAGGAGAATATATATGACGTGCTTAATCTTCTTTTCTCAGAATCGATAAAGCAATTTTGGTCATACTAGCAACCTTTATGCCATATTTCATCGCTTAAAATCCTAGCTAACCTGTAATGGTGAAGATTAATAAATTAGCCAGAAATCCATCAAACAACATATAAGGAAATTAGGTTCCTAATCAATTTCTGACTTATCAAAATGGCTTGAATGCGTGACCATATCAATTTATGTGGGAGACAGCAAAAGCACACTAGTGGATCTCCGATCTGATAGTGTAGTGAGTGTATGCTTGTACTGGACCACCTTCTTTGGTACACCCTAAATTCTCTTCTGCATGTGCTTCAAAAACCTTGTTCTCAGTAGAGATGCGCGATAACACACCTTCCATTACTATATATACCATGCCCTCACTTGCATTCTACTCCATTGTTGTGTATTCAACTGCAATATTCCAATGACTACTCATAAGTATAGGGATATGTTCTGCCTCCAAAGCACTCCTGAATTATGAAGAGCCTGTCCACGTTCCTGCTGTTGGCTATGGTGCAGGCCATGGCACTGGTGTCGGTGGTGGATCAGGGTATGGAGGTGCCAGTTATGGAGGTTATGGTGGCAGTGGAGGTGCAGGAAGTGGTGGTAGGTATGGAGTTGTAGGAGAGCATGGTGTTGCTGGAGAAGACGGTGGTGTTGCCAATGGAGGTGCTAGTGGACATATTAGTAGCGGTGGTGATGAAGGTGGAGGCGTTGGTGGTGGTAGTGCGTATGGTGCTGGGGGTGCTGAAGGATATGGTAGTGGGGGTGGTGAAAGAGTTGGGGCTAGCTATGGTGGCAGTGGAGAACATGGAGATACTGGTGGTGGTGGTGGAGGAAGTGGTGGTGGCGGAGGGTCTGGATATGCTGGAGAGCATGGGAGTGGTTATTGAGGTGGAGAAGGTGGTGGTGCTGGTGGAGGCTATGGAGCTAATGGCGAACATGGTGAAGGATATGGTGGTGGCGGTGGTCATGGTGGTGGTGGGGGAGGTTATGCAGTTGGAGGAGGAGGTGCAGGAGGATATGGAAGTGGTTGAGGTGTCAAAGGGGGAGCTGGTGGTGGGTATGCTGGTGGTGGTGGTGGTGGGTCAGGTGGTGGCACTGGCTATGATGGAGCACACGGAGGTGCATATGGAGGAGGTGGTGGGGATGATGAGGATGGTGGTCATGGTGGTTATGCTCCTTGAAATTACAATTTTCATTTTGGTCACTAAAATATATATTTACCTCCTCTTAGTTATTAAAATTTTAAGAATATTAAAAGAGAAAAATAAAATAATGAGAGGGATATTCATAACTTTGAGGGGGCGTTTGTTTTCCCTCACTAAGTGTCACTGGACTGGCTAGGATTAGCAGTGAGTGAAATCCCATGTTTGCTAGTAGTCGGGACAATGTTTAATGAGACTAAAGGGGACTCGCCTAGACTAAACGCCTCACTAGGCGGTCTTAGTGAGGCCCCCTAAAATTGGGCGGATTGCTAAGACCAACTCTCCTTCACCCCTTCACTCTTCGTCAGTTCTATGCTTTCCCCATCCCGAATTCTATTTTTCTCCCGTAAGACTCCTCTTCCAGCGAAGCCATCATGGATCTGTGGTCAGAAAATCTTTCTCTGAGAAACTCATTTCGTGGATTTCTGCAGCCTTTCCCTTTTCAATACCATATCCAACTCCCAAAATTTCAACTGAGAAAACCAGATAACCCAAAAAATCAGAGACCCAGAAAACCCAGAAAACTCAAAAACCGAAAGCAGATTCAACCCCATCTCTCACCTTCAACCCCATCTCTCACCTTTGATTTTAAGATTTGCAAGGGATTTTGTGAGAGGAATAGAAAAGGCACAGAGAGATTTGCAGTGACAAGGAAGAGAGAGCTGTGCAAAATATTTGGTTATCTTCTTAAAGCCTCCGCAGGCTTTTGGATGAAACATTAATTAGGTTTCTAAAAGTTAAATAGCTACAAAATAATATTTTATAACCATAATATTTGTTTGTTTTTCGTTTTGAAGGCAAAAGTAAATTAAAAAAATGATAAAAAACTAAGTTGGATTCAAAAAATAATTTAGTCCATAGTTTAGTCTGACCTGCACCAAACGTTTCACTAAGCTAATCTAGCTTAGTCTAGTCTAAGCTAGTCCAACTTAATCCCTGAAGCTAGTCCAGTCCAAGACAGTCCGGTGCAACAAACGCACCCTGAGGGTATTAGGACTCCAAATTGCATGCTATCCGAGGTTGTATCTGTTTGATGGAGGCAGATTGTCTGCCCCCTGTTATGATGCCCTTCTCATCCCCTTCTATTTGTGCGGTCACGGTTAAGCCTAGACCTGGCATTCGTGTCGTGTTTTTCTTTTTTGTGTCGTACCCGATATCTTAATAGGTCGTGTCGTGTAACACCCGTTAAAATAATCGGGTTAAATGATCCGACCCGAAATCGACCTGATAATATTAACAGATAATATGACCCGACCAGTTACATGTTAAGGAAAATATATTTTAAACCAATAAATAATCAAATGAAAAACATAATACTAAATAAGTATATACATACCATATTGTCACATCCAAAACATAAAAACGTATTTTTCTTTTAAGTATATATTTACATACCCAAAATAAAAGCATAATAAAAAAAAACATTAGAACATTACAAAATATCAAATGTTCAAAATATTTTCAAAATTAAGGACATTGGAACACTAGAACATTGGAACCTTGCACATTTTCTTCCAATCAAACCCTTCAATTTTCCTCAATCACCATGGAAAACATGTTAAGTAAAATTTATCCTAGTAATGATAATAATGAACTCTCATAATAAAAATAAATAATGACTTTTTTTTTTTTAAACTTATATAGAATAATAATACAAAACTATATATTTAATATAGAATATATTGTATATATTAATATGGCTATTGTATAAATCTTTTAGTAATTAAACTTTAAAATTATCAAAATAATTTTTTTCTTAACAGGTTACCCACGTGTTACCCGCATGTATACCTGTTAAAAATATGTTATTAACGGGTTCTTAACGGGTCATCTGATAATGACCCGATTAGTTATCGTGTTGACCCAAAATCTGTTATTTTCATGTCATTTTCATGTCGTGTCACATTGTCGTGTCAAAAACTGCCGGGTCTAGTTAAGCCACGTCAAAATTTTATATTGATTTTTTTATAGAGATAATACAAAAAGCAATAGGAATATAAAATGTTGATGTGGTTTAACCGTAACCGCACAAATAGAAAGGGATGGGAAGAGCACCATAACCGGAGGCCAGATAATCTGCATTAAGATGAATTATTGTCAATTTATTCTTGTCGGACTGAAAAGTATGTTGGAAAAGAAAAGATGAGACCTATTTCAAAAATTTAGTTTGAATAAAATTTATCTCTTCTAATCACCATAATAATCCAGATAATTTATTCATATCATAGTGAGTAAATTCATGTATTATAAAAGTACGTACATACGTATTTTTTAAAAATATATTTATTTTTACACTACAAAAAATTTGGGCACTGTGCACCAAAAATTCGTTGTGCCCCTTGATACTTAAGGACACCAACATATGTGCCCATAAACCAATAACAACAATGCAACAACTAAAATTTTATATGTGCTCTCTATGAGCGTTGCCTTTGATCATATGACACCATATGGTATTTAGTGCTCAAAGAGTTGATCACAAATAGGGGTTTTTTGTGCCTTTGTTCTGACAACCTTGTCTGATGACTTTCCCAATCTATGTTAGCACATTTTAGTAATCATGCCCTCTAAGCTAAATATTAAAAAAAAAAATTATCAAAACTCAAAATAGCCTACAAATTGAAACTAAAGACTAAACAAAAAAATAATAATTGTTTTCATAAAATCAAAATAACCCACAAGGGCCACAACCACAAGCATCTAGAATATTATAATTTAAAAAGATATTCTAAATCATCCACCAAAATATACATTAACACAACTATAATTTTAGATACTTTATCCTCAACTAAAAAAACAAATTGAAAACAAGCAATTATGGACACTTGAATCTTTCCCAGAAAGCTTTTTAATTCATCATGTCTTCTTCTTCCACAAATAAATCAGCCGGTCTATATAGAATCTGGGCTTCTTCTTGCCATGCTATGAATAAAAACCTCAAAGATAAAGAAACCATACAAATTTTTATTATTTTTAAAAACTTTGCGCAACGAATATCAATAATTCGTTGCTTAAACCCTATTTATTTGTTTTTTATTTAATTTTATATTTTATATTGTTAAACTAAATTATTTTCTTTGCACGACGAATTAACACTTGGTCGCCTAAACCCTATTTATTTTATTTCATTTATATTTTAAATTGTAAAATAAAATTATTTTCTTTTTTATTATTTAAAAAAATTATTTTCTTTTTTATTATTTATAAAAATTATTTTTTAAAATTTTGCTCGACGAGCATATATTTCGTTGCGCAAAATCCTTAAATTTGGGCAAGCACCAAAATGGGACACAAGAATTAATTTTTTTAACTTTACTCGACGAATCTTTCGTCACCCAAAACTTTGTGCGGCCAAAACTTCATCGCGCAAAACCCTAAAAATTTAGGCGGGGACCAAAAATGGAACGCGGGAAATTTATTTTTTAATTTTTTTAAGACTTTGCACAACCAATCATTCGCAACAAAAAATTTGTCTCGCAAGGTTTTGAGCGACGAAATCATACTTTGTGCAACAAATCTTATTTCGTCGCGCAAAGTGTTTTTTGTAGTAGTGTCACTAGATGAGCTTATGAGATTGTTAGTTCTTAGAAAACTTTTTAGTCATTGTTAGCATAGAGTAGGCCTGGCAAACGGGTCGTGTCTGTCGTGTTCGTGTCGTTTTCCTGTAACACCTGTTATCTTAACGGGTCGTGTCATGTCACACCTGTTATCTTAATGGGTCCTTAACAGGTCAGGTCACTTTACCCAACGGGTAAAGTGACCCGACCCGTTACGACCCGTTCAGAAAAATATATTTTTTTCTTAAATTTGCACATACAACACATTGACACATAAATATTACTTCAAAACATTAAAACACATTTATCGTTTAAGTACTACATCTACACTCGAAAATAAGAGCTTAATAAAAAACATTCATACACTAATAGTCAAATTTTTAAATTTAATTTAATATATAGATTCACTAACACTTAAGAGCTTATTCATACTTTCATTAAGTATAACATAAGACTTTGTGGTATCCACTATTATAAATATTTTAAATTGAAGATCGAGTTCATTCATTGTATTCATATAGGGTCGAGGAGTGTAGCTGTAAAAAATCATCAAAATCGGAGTTAAAATAACCGTTAAATCGTGATTTTTCGTTTTATAACCGTCGAAAAGTTTTGTCCCGTTACTTGATCTCTTAATGTTTGTGTTTTGCAATTTTTGGCGTATGTGATCTCAAAGTATATACAAACATGTTTGACAGTTGGATCGTTCAAACTAGTTTCGTAGAATGTGTATCCCATAAAAACAATAGATTCACTAATATTTAAGAGTTTATTCATACTTTCATTAAGTATGACATAAGATTTTGTAGTATCCACTATTGTAAATATTTAAATTGAAGATCGAGTTCATTCATTGTATTCATATAGGCTCAAGGAGTGTAGCTGTAAAAAAATCATCAAAATCGAAGTTAAAATAACCATTAAATAGTGATTTTTCGTTTTATAACCGTCGAAAAGTTTTGTCCTGTTACTTGATCTCTTAATGTTTGTTTTTTTTGCAATTTTTGGCGTATGTGATCTCGAACTATATACAAACATGTTTGACGGTTGGATCGTTGAAACTAGTTTCATAGAATGCGTATCCCATAAAAACAATAGATTCATTAATATTTAAGAGTTTAGTCAACT